AAAAAGTGCGGGGACTGCGTTGGCAGGAGCAGTGCCTTTTTAAGACACTTTGCAAATCGTTAACGGGGCGGGAAACACAAATCAGGAAACCTTTGGCCAGAGGCAAACATATCCTCCTTTGATGGATTTGAAGAACAGTATGGGTTTTTGGGCAACGATCGGGAGAAGGACCCCAAACATACACGACCAGCCAAAGGGACCTGTCTTACGGAAAAGGTAGTAATAGGAATTTTACGGGCGAGGCCTATGTATGCATAGGGGAATGGCCTAATGGGTATAGATAATTGGTAAATTCGTATTTTGGGCGAAAAAGTCTTAATGCGTTGACAAATAGCAACCGAAATTGAGCAGGGCAACTAAAAAAATAAACACTAAGTGTCTACAACGATGAAACACCAAACCGAAGTAATCGTGTCGGACTAAAACCCACTTAAATAAGTATAGCATGTATTCTTTGTATGCCACGGATGCTTGGGGTCCTTTACCCGATCCTTACCGTTTTTTGTAACTCCGGTCGCAGCCTCAGTGCACAAGAAGATGGCGCAGTTAAGCATTTGATCAAGATTTACTAGGAGGACTACAGAGAGTAACATTCAGATTGCCGACCATAACGAATTTGGTTTTGCTGCTTAAACACCTTTACAGAGGCAGTCTGCCGTTGACCCGTGAAAAGGACAATATAATTACTGTCTTTTCAGATTACATTAAATTCTTCTTCTGTGCTTAGTAAGTCATTTGCCAGCACCTTCTACAAACTGTTAACCACTTTAACCTGTGTCTAATTAGGCAGTCTGCATAGCCCTATTTAACCTTTCATTGGTTTATGACACGCGTTTAGCACTGCGAAACTTATAGATTGGTTCATTCTACTCAAGCACGCTTTGGCTCCGGTTTCATCCTTACTAAATTTGTGTGAGCCTTTCTGGATCCCGATGTTTATAATTCGACGGCAGTTAGCATGGCGTGTTTTGTAGGTGATAGTCGTCGCACTAGACTTCATTTTCGTCGAGGTAAGACGCACAAAATGAAGCGTTTGTTTACTTTTGTTTGGCAGAAACCGTACAACAGTCACTCCAGGACGTAGGATAGCATGCATGTGTATAAATGCCATCCATATTCAATTGTTAAACTAAACTTCGTCTGCTATAAGGTTGTGCTTTGAAAATAACCGCTCACCAAGGTCTGCCACAGCATTAAAATCAACGTTGGGAAACTTCGCTTCTCTGAGGGGACAAACGATCTTACGATCTGTTAAGGAAATCGTACAATCAAGAGGTTTCAACCAAGTAGGCTTTTAAACTAGTGGACGTATAGGCAATGTAATTTGAAGGCAAAGATTAAGATCTGGAGGAAGGGAGGGGGTATAGCATGACTGAACTGCATCGCAGTCCTCTGAGTTATGAACGCAAGTGGACTATTTCAGTCATTGGAAAGATGGATGTTGAGCCTCCACTTTATCCAAACAGCCCACAACGGGCTCCTCCAGAGTCGATATAAGACCCTTCACAGCGGAACAATGTAAAAGGTGAGTTGCTGTCTCCCAGGCTTTTGCAGCAGCAACTGACTGACGGAAAAGTAAGCCACTTGCGGACTAAAAGTGAGGCCTTCTACCAAATTTATGGTACTACGAATTAGGACAAATGGATATGGGTTGTGGGCAGAATTAGGCGCAAAATACTCCGTCGGCTCAGTTAACGTAAAATTGCTGCGAGGATGCTCGTGTCTCGAAAGAGGTAATTGTGAACAAATTTCCTTTGAAGTAACTGTTTCGAGGAAGTAGATTTCACGAAGTTCAACGCATGGTTGGACCGAAGTCGGGTTTGCTGTTTCACCTCCTCATTGGGCAGCATGACTTCCTAAGGACACAAGACCAGAAGATTTGGCTGCGGAAACAGCAGTACGATTTCTGGCCAATTCGTCGTCATTAGCCGGCCCAAACCGAACCCCCAGAAGGGGGGAGGGGACCTGGCGTTTTAATTTGCCGATGACACTGGATGCCAAGGCTCGGTAAGACACGCCAGTAGGAACTTCCCCTTAATAAAGCTGGCCTTGCGCTAAATCCTAGGAAGGGCACCTATTCTACCTGTCACAACCCTAACACTAACACTAATCTCAACTAAAACAATAACCTTGACCCTAACCCCAAACTCGACCCCTTATACTAACCCTAACCTTACCTAGTCCAAACCCAAAGCCTGACCCTAATCTTCCCGGGATTTAGCGCAAGCCCACCTGTATCAACAGGGACTTCCTGTTATCGTGTCCTACTCACGTTCAGTCGGTCGCGATTCAGAATACAATTGGTTTCGGCTAATAGAATCACCGGTTTCTTGACTCAGCGGCTTACTCGGGCCAAAGTTGAAAAACCGCTCACACATCCTCTGTATTATCGCGAATCTACTCTGCTTATAGCACCCATCACTCCGTTTACCTGGGCGGGTTATTGCCCTAAGTCAGGAAGCAGGGAGACGAGGCTGAGTGGTTAAGCCGTACTTTTGATGATGGATGGACGGCGGAGGCTGGCCAAATCAGAGGTGGATTGTACGGTCGCAGACGCTTGACGGGGGGGGGGAGGGAGGGGGCGAGCAGGCGCACCAGTATTGACGCCCATAAATAACTTGATGTTCGGTGACTGGTTCAATCTGAAGTTGGAATAGTCGTGTACTAAAGACACCGGTTTTCGCGCGGCCAAGATATTGAGAAAATTGTTCTACTAGACAAAATAAGAAACCGACAGCTAAATGCTGGGGAAGAAAACGGGCTCGTAAAAGTCTACAATTCCATGTGTGATACGACAACAAGACAGACTACGAGAGAGGGAAGTCGCTGGATGGGTGTGACAGAATATCCCAAAAGCGAAAACCAGAAGAAAAGGTTCAAACGCTAAGAAGTCCCTTGGTCAGATATTCTCCATTATAACCCCCCAGAGAATTTGTCCAGTTGTTTAATTGGTCCAAAATGATTTGGCCTAATGTGAGCTAGCCAACTATTGTCTGCCTTAGTCCCACTCGTTTGGGATGGAATATCGTCCATTTAGTCTCATTGCAGGATGGAACACAGGCGCTAAGATGTCGACTGGGAGCCCTAGGCTATGGGCTTTATGGGTGAACGAATAGGGACGAGGAACCTATAAGGGAAGTTTATTTTTAAAAAGGCGGGGAGAATGAAGTGTCCATTTGCGGTCATCTTATGTGAGAAGGCTTATTTTGGAGAGCGTTCCGCCACAATCCCAGTCTACCGACAGTTATTCAGAGAAGGTAGAATTCAAGTGAGAAGGGAAATGGTCATGGGCGCTTAGGCAATTTGGTGCGACAAGACTTAACAGCATGAAAATAGCTTGACTTTCTCCTCTGCAAGTCCGCTCCTCAAGACCTCACGTGAAGTGGGTTAACTTCTAATCTACCCGTTGTTCATTCATGTGACCTGCACTCTTAGCGCTTGAGAATGAATGTGCGTGACAAGGTCACATGAAAAACTGACACATGAGGAGTGACATGTGGCGTACAGTGCATCTGAACTTTAAAAAAGTTTGAACTAACTTCCATTTGTGTTTGAATACGGAGCACAACGAAGCAGGGGTTCCATATGTTAGAGAAATGCCTACGAATTGCTTCAGGTCAACCTGTTTTTCTGTTGAATGAGTCCGAAAGTGGGTGAGACTTCCGCATTCTAGTCAGAACATATAAGGGATTCACAATGGTTGGATTTTTATCCATAAATACGATAGGGTGAGTCTCCGGAGACATCCAGGAGGGAGGAGTCCCGACCGCCGTAACACGACATTCATCCCCCTGGTGCCTTAGTTTCGTTTTCAAACTCATAGACGGAGGTAGTAACTAATAGAGTCGGCGGACGCAGTGAGGGTACAGTGCATATAGGATGTAGTGGGTAAACCAGTGGACCCTTGCTGACATTTCGACCGTCGCGTTCGACTATGTAAACCGTGTGCTCCACAGCTAGATGAGATCAGAAACGGTAAGAGTGGGCTTGCGCAGCATCTACCACACTCTCTCCTCCCTCCCCCATGAGAGCCCGATGCCAAGACATAGTCGAGAAGACCGGAGGTGGGAGAGGCACAGGTGGCTAGCACGACCGGATCCGCACCTAGGCGTATCAACACACCCCGGGTCCCCAGCAAACACCTGGCCAGAGCTGGAGCTGCTGGTGGTAGAAGCGCTGGTAAACCTAACAACTCTCGCGTACATCGCGGGTGTTTGCAATTATCTACTTACTGGCTTGATCGCCAACACACGGGTTATTATTTACCGCGGTTTAATTACATCCTTGTATTCCACCTGTTGCTGTTTATGATGGTTGATTCAAAAGTGGATCTAGAACCTCAGCTGTGTAGTGCTCCCGTTCTGGCCATCCAGTCTTCTCCTTCTCGAAGGCATTTTTTATCCCAAGAGAAGTGTTTTAAAGGTATTTCCGAAGAGTCGAGATGGGAGGGGTGGGAAGTAAGGAACAAGAGAGCGGCCAGCTTTACCCTTACAGGGGATACTCGCACCGAGTCATTTTGAAAAAAAACTGATTTCTGCCTTGAAAATGTGGTAGGGCGCGGAAATACGGACCCTTTATTAGAGATAACCTTGTGGTCAATTCCAGTGGTTTAGAATTAGTGCTGGGGCTAGGGTTGAGGTTAGGGTTACAGTTGGGAATTTAGCGCAAGGCCATCTGTAATACGGAGTACCGACAAGGACAAGTGAAACTAAGATTGTCATGTCTGACTTATTAGCGGTCATCGGGGTGTAGGGGTGTCAGCGGTGGGTTCACGTGAAGGTCGTAGTGGTCGCTCACTTGCTTGCAGGTGAGACTACGCCTAGCGTCCACTTGCTGGCACTCAACTCTCACCTGTGGCTCCACGTAGCTGGGCTGTGCTCAGCGGCCACACCCCGGGCAACCGTCTCGACCGGCGGGCTAAACCAGGTGAGGGCGGTTACTCCCTGTGCGCGTTGTGTCGCGTGCACAGGTGACTGCGGACTCCGTGGACGGTTGGTCGGATGGAACACCGCGTCGGCGCCGTCGTGACGAGGCTGTCTGACACACCGCTGGTCAGCCGGTTGGTGGTGGAACGTCGCATCGGCATCGTCTAGACGAGGCTCCGCCTGGTACGCCGTTGATCAGCCGGTGGGATGGATCTCCGAATTGGCACCGTCGACACGCGCCCATCTGGTGCACCGTAGGAGACCGCAGGCTTGCGGCAATGCCGTAAGCCATTGGCAAATTCGAGTCGTTCTTCCACTGCCAAAAAAACTCGTGGCCCACAGTGGAGTTCGGCCGCGCCGGCACATCAAGCAGCCCCTATTCAGGGGTCAGGGCACTGCTTCCTTCGGGGGGGCCTGGAAAAGCTGGCCTAAAAATTGCTGGTGAACCACGTCGTCTGCTGGCGCACCGTGGTCGCAGACGCAAAACTCACGGTCGAAACAATCAAACTCGAAACAACAACAACAACAACCATATTCATTCTCCTCATCCTACCTCTTCTACCTCTACCTCCGTCTATTCTTCTGCCTATTCTTCTCCTTCGTCATCTTCTTCTCCACCTCCTTCCCATCGCCCCACTCGTTTTCCCCAGACTGACAGGGTGAGCCCGCTCACTCTGGCAGCCTGGAATGTTCGTTCCCTTTTAGACAATCCGAGGAGCAACCGACCGGAACGGAGGACGGCGGTAGTGGCACGAGAACTGGCGCGCTACAAGGTGGACATCGCCGCACTCAGCGAGACCCGATTATCCGAACAAGGCCAACTGGAGGAGGTGGGTGCCGGTTACACCTTCTTCTGGAGTGGCCGACCCAGGGCAGAGCGACGAGACGCGGGCGTCGCCTTCGCCATCCGGACCGACATTGTGGGACGACTGCCCTGTTTGCCGCAGGGCATCAACGATCGCCTGATGAGCCTCCGCCTGCCTCTCTGGGGAGGCAAATTCGCCACCATCATCAGCGCCTACGCTCCGACGATGACCAACCCCGACGCCGTCAGAGACAAATTCTACGAGGACCTGCACGCCCTCTTGGCGACTGTGTCGAAGGCGGACAAGTTGATTGTCCTTGGTGACTTCAACGCCCGCGTCGGCACAGACCATACTGCCTGGAGAGGAGTGCTGGGTCCCCACGGTCTCCGCGGCTCCAACGACAACGGCCTGCTTCTCCTCCGCACCTGCGCAGAACACCGCCTCACCCTGACGAATACCTTCTTCTGTCTGCCGGAGCGAGAGAAGGCCACCTGGAGGCATCCTCGGTCGCGTTAGTGGCACCTGCTGGACTATGTCCTCGTCCGGAGGCGAGATCAGCGGGACGTGCTGGTGACCTACACTCACCGCACTCGCCTCCACTGCCCACACTGCCCTCGCACCTTCACGCATCGCATGGGTCTATTCGGCCACATGCGCATCCACGAGAGCGGCATTGACCGCAATTCCGATACAGCCACGACATCCAACACGCCC